ACCACCTCCTCCTGCTGTTGTGTACCCTCTTTCTATTTTAAATGGATATACAGATTTTTTTGTGTTTGTTATGTGGTGCAAGTAGCCCAAAAGCTTGGGTAAGAAGCTGATGCACCTTTCTGTATAATAGATATGATGGATATATGCGATAGAGTCAGCGTATCTGCTGTAATCATCTGAAGCTTGTTTTTGTAGTGAAGCTCATTTTTGTAGAAGGCTGATGTTTGTTTTGTGAATGTAACACCTGATAATCATCATATATATCAACAGTGAAAAGACCTATAAAGATCGGTGGTGGTGTCAGAAGCGCTCTTGTTTGTGTGCTTTTGTTGTTGTTGCTTTTTGTTTCATCCTTTGCTTCTATCCACTGGAAGAAATCTCAGTTTTGGAATGTGGAAGTGTGATGCCTGGCAGTTACCAGGGCAAAGAAGACGCAAGGAAAATGGTGGCCTTAATCTTCTGCCCTGATTCTGAGAGTTTTTAATCTTGCACTATAAAATGCATTGACTTTGCTATTATAAATAATGTAAACTATTACGCTTCTAGTTAGCCATCCTAGTATGGTTTATTGGTTATAACTGTTTAGAGAAGAAGGGTGCGTGGTAATGAAATTCAAGAAATTAATTTAGTTTGATTTTGAAGTTCTACTCTGGCCACAAATAATCTAAAACATATCAACTTATGTCAGACAGGTTAGATCATAGGCCCATCTAGTCCAATGTTTTGTCTTTGGTGGTGGTCATTGCTGGATGTCTAAGGAAAAATGTGAGAATAGAGCACTTGTGGAAATACATAATGGAAATATCATACCTTGTGATAAATCTTAAGTATTTCAGGAGTCAAAAAAAGATTACCTTAATTGCTCTTTTTTGTTCTTACGTTTTTTTTCCCTTCGTTTCTCCAGTCCCTAGGAAATTCATAGAGTGCATAGTCAGCAGCATCCTGTGGAAGTGTGCATCCAGGCTTGTGTGCATATGTGTGAAGAATAGTATGTTTTGAACCCACCATGCTGACTCCTGAGAATGGTAGCAGACACCTGTAACCATAGCCAACCACAAGCCAATTCACCCTGTGGTATTTCATATTCACTAGGAATCTCTGAATCTGCTAGAAATTGTAGCATTTTGGGCTTGATCTGAATAGAGAGTGAGGATATCATAAAAGAGCTAGTTATAGCAGTTTTGAGCTGACAGATTGGAAGCTAATTTGGTAAAATGGAACTATATGAAAAAGGAGGCCTGGAATTATGATTGCTTATTTCAGAAGAACAGACAGAGAAATCGGAGATCTTGAGTAAAATCGTAGTGCTAATGAGCTCAAGGACTTGAACGTGGAGGTAGCTTGCGATTCCTGTAGTAAAAGAGAAAGAAACGGTAGAAAAAAAAAACTAGCTTTTTAAAGCTAATGAGATGAATAACCCTTCATGAGCAGAGAATAGAAATAAGAACTAGATAGAGATGGAGAAAAAGACTGATTTAAAGTCATGCGCTAGATCAGGATGAGTAAAGTGAGAAGTGTTTATTTAATCTGACTTGTTTGGATTTTGCTATCTTTATCTGCTGAGCTATTGGGGAAACCAATTCAGATAAGAATTAGAGATTCATAAAAATAAGCCAGCCATGTATAGCACTGTCTACGGCAGGGATGATGTCAGAGTGGATGATGCTGCTGTTTTCTCCAGGATTGTTCTTGACTGCTGATGTTTGGAGAGTAACCTTCACACAAGAAAAGTCAATGCATGCTGTTAAAATTTGCCAGTGACGCAAAATTTAAACACACCCCTTATACGCAAGCGTGTTAGGCCATTACTGAAGAACTACATGACCTTGAGGATTTGAATCACCAAAAATAGCACCAAATGCAAGGTGTCTGATGTAGGAATCACTGTGAAGGACCTTTGCAATAGGATGGGAGTTCATTAATTGGAAATGCAGAGAAGTAGAAAGAGATTTCAGAATTTGTTTCTCTGTGTGTGTTTTTTTAATGATTTTTGTGATATGTGTTTTGTAACAAAGCATCTAGCACCTTATGAATCTACTCCAAAGTGATTGGCATTGTGCAGAAAATCTTGCTGTCAAGAACTGAATGTCCAAAAAGGAGACAGAGGAGTCCTAAAACTTTATTCGAATAAAGGGAGAGTCCACGGGGCATATCCCTGTGGGGTCTCTCAAATTGCTGGGGGACGCAGCCCCCCTTTTATCCTAATTTCCCAACCGAGGGACGCCCTCTCCTTTTCCCCATTGGCCAAGGTGCTCAGAAGTTACAGCTTTCTTGGCCCGCCTATACCAAACTCCCTGCTTCCCTCCATCTGTTCTCACCTGACTCCTTTGTCCCCCTTGCTGAAGAATGTGAGGGAATTCCCTTATTTCCCTCCTTTGTAAAGGCCCTCAGCTCCTGGCAGATGCTCTTTTGCCCCACTCACTCATGGCTCCGCTCAGTCTCCCCCGTCCCTTTGTCCTGCTCTTCAGCCAGACTGTGGGGGAATCCCCTTATTGGTGAATACACAAACTTGAGCATCCTGCTCAGCATTGTCCTTTTGCAGCAGATGTTGCTCTTCTGCAGCTGCCAGCTGCATTCACACTACCTAGTTACAGTTCTCTTGTATCAGTCCTCTTAATTTTAATATTAGCTGGAAAATACCATATGCTTAGTACAAAAAAAATGCATGGAGTCAGCAAAACACAGAATCCCTCAAAAATTTTGCTTGTGTTCTATACAGCCATATAGAAAGAATATTTATGGAGCTATTTATTTGGACTCTGTTGGAAGTCCTTACAAAAACAAGACAATAACTGGGGAGAATGCTTTTCAAGTATTATCTTGGAAAAACAGACAGGAATCAGTCACTCATGTAACTGAGTTTGCACTGGGAATCTGGATGCCTGAACTGTCCATTTCTGAAATAGGGCAGATAGGGCATTTAGAGACACTGGTATTTTTCCAGAAACACAGGTTTCCCGAAGTTTAAGGTACTCGCTTCAAACACACATTTCTTGGGAATTTTGCCCTTCTCAGAAGGCAGCAGAGCTCTCTTGTAAGCAGCTACTATATCTTTTTGCTCAGAAGAAAGTTCAGGAATCGTAAATTTTTAAACTATTAATTGATTTTACAAATGTTCTGATTTGGGAAGGAAAAGAGTAATATTAAGACCAGGTATTATTGAACGAGTCCTTTTGCAAAGCTGCTATGAAGTGTTGATTAAAAAATTATATAGGAACACTTTTTCTTCTTTTTCTTTTTCTTTTTCCTTTTTTTTTTTTTCCTTCTCCTCCCCTCCTGCTTCCCAGGACATTCAGGAACAGTTTTCTCTGCTTTCTGGAATTATTACACAAAATGTCTGTAAAATAAGTCAGCTACAGTTGTTTATAACCTCCCCAGTCTCATACTATCAGGAGTGCTTGATACTTTGTAAAAAGCAACAGTGTTTCAGGGATTGAGGGAATGAGTACATAGGGCCCACAGATTTAAAATGCTGCTGGCAAGTAGCCTTCTTGCTCTTCTACTTTGTGTTCATATGAACATTTGTGGCACACTACTTCTGAGCAGTGCTGTCTTTTTTAGTCTCTCTGGAGGTGGAACACAGATATTTTTCAGGCAGCTGTGATTGGGATCAGTGTGTGATTTACCCAGATACCTTTGTCATGATGCAGTGCTGAGGTTGCTGTGGCTAGGGAATGGATCTAGAGGGCCTGTGTGGATAGATAAAGCATCCCCAGCAGCTTTTTGCAGCCACATCATCTCAGATTATAACACTGTGTGTATACTACATAATTCTGGTTATATTATTGTTAGAGGAGGGACTTGTTTTGGTGAAAGGTAATTGGGTCTGTCGATTGCTTGGCAGTTCTCTGTAATGGCAAAAGATTGATGGAACTTCATGTCATTCATTTTATTTTCTGGAATTGATTTTGAATAGAAGATATTTAGTAAGATGTAAATCAGGAGGAACCTCTTGTGGCTGTGAAATCTTACAGTATGCTTAGAAGAGTGTTTTTGTTAGGACTGGTGTCACTAGAAGTCTCTTCTTGGAATGACATCTGAAAACTGTGATCTCTTGCAGCTTGCTTTGAAGTATTAGGAGTAGCAGTGTACTCTGATATTTCAAAGGCCAGATAAGATAGCTTGTGACTATCTGAGTCCAGAGATAAATCCACTAACTTCTTCGGGCCTTTGCCCCTTCATGGGTGATCATGATTTTGTTGTCATGTGGCAGAAATTCCAATTCACCTGTGAAATACACGTGCTTTGTAGCTTTAGGCAAGTTATTTAAAGTTTCTTCTAAAATATTTGCCAAAAATATCTTGGGACTGTGGTGATTAATTATGGAACATTTGAGATGGTAGAGCCGGAATAGACATAAGTATAGGTGAGAGGTGCTTTGTAAGCTAAATTTAATTACTAAAGAGAAATCGTTGGCTGGATGCTCATCTATGGTAACTTGCAAATTTTCTTTTCCCCATTTATGTTTCTACAAAGTTTGGCTAAGTAGTATAAACAAGGTTTATACTTATTTAGACAACACTTCTTTCTTGTATGAGCTTTCTTCTGCACAAGCAATATGTTTTTGTGCTCCTTAGCATGGATTTCATCCTCCTAAGCAGAAACAAGTTTTTAGGGGTGTTTTTAACTTCTGAAGG